TCTTCCCTCCAAGCTATGCACCTTCAACTTTAAGGATCCTCCAAAAATGTGCAAAATATCAACTCTTAAGGTCCTCCACAAGCTCACACACTCTCAAGGATGATGATACACTCTTTTAGGGTTTTTTGGACAGATGAGGATGGTATGGAGGCCAACCAAGAGACTTAAGGCCCTTAAATAGGGTGCAACACCCTAACAATAAGGGTTTCCTTCCCAGTCGCCAACTCGTCGAGTCGAGGCACCCCAACTCGTCGAGTTGGTCCATTAATTCCCACGGCCAAATTCCACTCAATACGTCGAGTTGAAGCTTTCAACTCACCGAGTTCAACAGGAAAAATCAACAATTTGAAGAAATAAATTCATACCGGAACTAAGCGTTACAAATGGTGCTTGACCTGTCGGAATGTCAATGCTGAACATCAGTCCCACCCACGACAAGTTGCAGCCTCTGGAGGTTCCATTTTGGAAATAGGAACATATCACCATGGATTTCATTACGAAGCTACCGAAGACGAAAAAGGGTTATGATGCCATTTGGGTGATTGTGGATCATTTGACAAAGAATGCTCACTTTCTGGCTATTCGTGACAACTCTTCTGCTAAGAGGCTGGCTGAGATTCATGTTCAATAGGTGGTTGCTTGTCACAGTGTACCCAGTTCTATGGTTTCAGATCGAGATGTCCTTTTTACTTCTAGATGTTGGAAGAAGTTCCATGAGGATTTAGGTATTCAATTATATTTTAGTACTGCTTATCATCCACAGACACTCGGGAAAAGTGATCAGACCTTAAAGTAAGGTGTGATGAGATTTGAAGCAGAGGGTCTAGTGCTGCGCCAGACAGAACACACGCAACAATTTTTAACTCAGAAGTCTTCTAAAAAAACAAACAGCTGCGAAGGGCCAAGTGATGCGCGTGTGCTGTGCGGCACAACAATAAGTGGTTAGAAGTGGTTTTTTAGAAAAAAAACAAACAACACCTTAGTAAAGGTGCCGTGACAACACCAGAAGGGTTCTGAGTGGACTTGGGAACCCGAGGAAGAGATGCATACCTACTAATCTTAATGTAGAGGATTTCAGAGGAAAAATCTTATTCAAGTGGAGAGAATTGTAATATCCTCTTTCCTGATATTCATTTCTAAATTTAACTATTTATTTTTATCATTTTAGCTTAGGCCACAACATAACATTGGTAGTGCCACGGTGTGGCACTCATTAATTAAAAAACGTACATCCACGAAGAGCCATGACATGACATTATATCTGCCACGGCGTGTCAACCGTTTTGGGCCTAAGACCCTAATTTCAGGATTGGTACCCTATTTAAGGGCACTAACTCCTAGGGTTGCCTCCTTTGGTAGCCTCTACCCTCTAAGAACGAACCCCATCCAAACCCTAGCCTCTATTTGTGTGTTTTGAGATTTTGAGCTCCATTCTTGTGAAGGTTTAAGGAAGAAGGAGTCCTTTGGTGTTGCTTGGGAGTGTGGTTTCAGCTTAGATCCATCATCTTCATCTCATTTCTGATTAATTAAAGGTAAAAATTCTCTACCTTGCTCATTAATTATCTAGAACTAATTCTAGGTAATTTTATGAGCTTTTGGTCCCAAATCTTCTTGTTCTTGGAGTTTGAGTGAACTCCGAAACCTTTGAGTGCATTACCTGCTTCTTAACCTTGGGGTTGGTTGGAAAGATGACTTACATGGCTTATTGGGTGAGTCCATGCCTTGGTGTTGTCATTAAGAACTTAGAAATTGAGATTTTTTCTTAATAAGAAGTCGTAATGGATAAAGTTGGAAACTTTATCCATCAAGACCTTAAGGGTAATCATATTTGAGTTTTATAGGTTTTGGGATTCAGGAATAACAGCTTAATCCATTAATTTGTTGGTGCCCAGTATCCATGGCATGGCGGCTGGTTTTCACATGACTCATTTGTCTTCGAGTGCCCACGACGTAGCTACGGGTGGCCACAACATGGAAACCTGTCAAAGTTGACTTTGACTGTTGACTTTTTAGTCAATTTGGGGATTATAGAGTGTAGATTGAGTGGGTACTTCCTTATTGATGAATATGTATTTCATATTACTGTTCTTCTTCGTGTGAGAGTTATTGTGTCTTAGCTACTATCTACGAGGTGTGTCCTCTTACTATACTATAGGACACTTGGTGTCATTTGTGCATGTGTCTTTGTGACTACTGTTGGTATGATTGTATCTTGTATGCATGGAGTCGACCCGGGCTCTAAGTCTCTACGGACTCAGGTTGATACGGACCCGATGGAACCGATCTGGGGTCGGAGTCAATATGGACTTGAGGTTGGTACGAACTCGGGGTTGTTACGGACCCGATACAACTACATGTTATATATGTTGTATGTGGTATTTTAGGGGAACTCACTATGCTTTGTGCTTACGGTTGTTGATATATTGTGTTTTAGGTACTTCAGATGATCACGGAAAGGTAATGGCTTGATTGTACACATCCACCTACAGTTTACGTGATTCCACATATTTTGATACTCTGATATTTTGTGATGATACCTATGTTCTTTGACTTAGTTTTTGGAAAATCAATGATTTATCCTTATTTAAATATGAAAATTTTGTTTCAAAAATGGCACATTATAGTTGAGAACTAAGCTTTCATTTTCTCCTCGGACATAAGAAATTGATAGAGTAAAGGGGATAAGAAGGGTTTCGGTGGAGATACTTGAGAGAGTGCGAAGACTAGTGGGTGATTTGGAAAGACATTGAAGAATTTAAGCTTGGAAAGGATCATTGCAGAATTAAAGTATGGAAAGGATCATTGAAGCTTTGTGAGGTATAAATCTATCTCATTTAAGCTATTGGATCAATCTAGTATTTGTTTTCCAAAACCTATCCATTTTTTCTAGAATGAAGAGTTTAATTTGATTTCTAACTTTATATACTTACTAGTTCATGAATATAAGCTCGAATCCATTCTATTGGTTGTTTTGGATTCATGAAGTTTATGGAGTCATAAACTCTAACTTAAGAAGGAATCCAAATTTTATGATTTAATATAGGTTTTGTATATGATTAGATGCTACAAACTTGAATGAGTCACTAATAAACCTCCTCTTCATCATTTAAGTGTTTGATATCATCTCTATTCATGGAAATGGGGAATTTGAACCCTAGTTAGTGAAGAAGTTGTACAATAGTGTTTTAGAGTACGAAGTTTATTTATAATGTAATATTTTTAGGTAATTTTAGCATTTTATTTTTAAATATATATAATATTAGAAGTGTTTATAATTATTAGATAATATTTATTAAAAACGTTAAGAAGGTTGATAATTATTAAATATTATTAGGACTTTAAATAATAATTTTTGGAGGTAGGGGCTAGAAGTGACCAATTAGCCAACTTGTAATGTCGAGTCTTAACTTAATCAATGGACTAAAATGAAAAATAATTATAACAAGAGACTTTGTTCATAGTTTTGTAAAGTTAAAATAAAAGGTTTGTCAAATTAATGGTTAATTCGAAGAAATAAGCTTTATGAGGGTTTAAGTTGCCAAAACCCCAAAGTTTAGAAATAAGCTTTCATTAGCTCCTCAAAGAGAAAAGATAGATTTAGATTAAGTGATAGGAATGAGAAGGGTTTGAATGACTATGTTTGAAGATTGTGAAGATCAATATGTGATTTGGAAGGAGATTGAAGAGTTGAAGCTTGTAAAAGATCATTGATGTTTTATGAGATATAAATCTCTCTTTTAAGTTATTGAGCCGATCTAGGGTTTGGTTTCCAAAATGAATTCGAATAATTTTGTTTAAAATGAGTAGTTTAATTTAATTTTCTATCTTTATCTACTCACTAGTTCATTAATCTAAGATCAAATCTCCATTTTATTGGTTGTTTTGGATTAATGAACTCTATAGAGTCACAAACCCTAGCTTGGGAGTAAAATCTGAATTTTATGATTCAATCTAAGATTTATGTATGATTAAATACTAGCAACTTGTAATGAATCACCACACACCATTGAAGTGTTTGATTATATCTTTATTAATGGAAATGGATATATTGACTCATTCCCACAAATTTAATGCTAAACTTGATTGTTCATGTAGCAAACTAGAAGCGACAAATAAACAAAATTCAACCAAAATTCTAAACATGATGAAATTACAACAAAATTGAAGAATTGGCGTGATGGTGATGGATTACGTAATTAAAAAACATATGGGACACAGGTGGGCAAAGATGACGAGGAATAACCGACAACAACGACATGAGCATCTTGGCGGAGCAATGATGGACGTTAGAGCATAGATGGAGTTTAGAGCATTACGAGTTCCAAAATCAGAGCAATACAAGTTATGAGGGCATTGTGCCTCTTCTGCCCTAACTTACTGAAATTGTAAGGAGGGAACATGAAAATGAAAAGTAACCGGTGGGAAAACGATGGAAACAAAAATAATAGCTCAATAGCTTCAATGTCATAAAAAAAAGTAATTAAATTAAAAAGAAAAAAACATATAGTGTCGCTATAAATTATTACGCCACTAATAAACATGACTTTTAGTGGTATAAAAAATTAAATGTAATTAAAACCATTAATTTTTATAATAACATTTAGAATGTGCCACTGCATGCATCATATAGTGGCACAAAAAAATATACACTAAATATCATTTAGTTTGTAGTGAATGCTTGCATATCGGTTTTCAAAAGTTTGTCGTTTACAAAACATTATTACATGCATGATCTACAAATAAAATGGTTTGATCGTAAACAAAAATAACATAATGGTTTTTTTAAACACCGAAAAATAATATGTTGCGTTTTATTTAGGGTTTTCTTACTTATAAAAATGATAATATAGTTCATGCATCGCAAAAGGAAGTTTATTTATGTGGATAAAATCATGTTAAAACATTTGGGTAAAAAAAATGAATTTAGTAGGACTATTTCTCTAATTTATTATAAAATAATAAGATTTGATAATTACAAAAGTTTTACATTTAGTTGATTGATGTACTGGACCCATTTCAATCAGCTTTTTCAATTTCTGATAAGTTTCCAAGAAATTTCGACAAAAGGTATCTTTCATGAAAAGTAGTCGTTGACTTGACTTTCCTTCGAGTAGAAAAACACTGCTTGCTCTTATTTTGATTGTAAATCTAGTCTCAAACTAGTCGTACCTTACCATAACTTGCAATGACTGTTCTCTCTAAATTTGCAGAAGGATCTTCATCTCCTTCATCTACTAATCGTCATAAACATGACGTATTTTTAAGTTTTCGAGGTGTTGATACTCGTAACAATTTCACAGATCATCTCCATAAAGCCCTCCTGGATGCCAATATCTCTACCTTTTTGGATGATGATGAAATTGAAGCCGGAGGAGATCTCAAACCGGAATTGGAGAGTGCCATTAAAGAATCTAGAGCTTCTATTATCATTTTGTCCAAGAATTATGCGAATTCATCATGGTGCCTTGATGAATTGGTACTCATCCTTGAGCAACGTATGACATCCAACCAAATTGTTATCCCCATTTTTTTTCATGTTGAGCCCAGCGATATTAGGAAGCAAGAAAGTAACTTTGCACTTTCAATGGCTGAGCACAAAGAGAAGATGGAGGCAGAAAAAAATGCATCTAAAAAACGTCAGTTGGCTCAAAAGATTGACCGATGGATTAAAGCACTTACTGAAGTTGCTAATTTAAAAGGGATGCACGCAAAAGGAAGGTAAACACTTTTTCGCCCATATTTCCACAGTAATTCGAATTTGCTTAATTAATACATGAAAAGTCATAAACCCAATCGCACCAAAAAAATAGGTTCTGTGCTAGTGGCAAAAAATTTTATATCCACTAGCCATTTGCTAGGAAAAGGGAAACAAGTGATCAAAGCATTACAAACTTATTCAAACTCCGGGACTCAAAAAAAAACCCTATCATGTTTAGATCTACATTTAAACCCATAAAAATCCAGGAGTTTTACTTCATTAAACAAAAATTCAGAACTTTGCACAACCCCAGCATCAGTCTTCCGAGGAGTCCGCTGAATGAGGGACACACAACCACCAGGAATGGATCTTCGCGCTAACCTCCCACCCAGTAGAACACTCCTAAAAAGGTGTGTATTTTGTACCAGGGTTATTTTGGGAATTCTTTCCTTTTAAAGGTTTTTTGAGTTAGTTTATGAGTCTAGTTCCTTTAGTATATATAAGGGGTTAATTAGAGGTGTTTGATTTGGGTTTTCCATTCCTGTTTATTAGTAAAGCTTGGTGAACAAGCAATTTTTCCCGGAAAAACTGTCCCCTATTCCTCTTTTATTCTTCCTGTTTTCTTCCCAGTTTCTTTTCTGTGTTCTTCCTCACATGTACCTTGAGACCCGAAGCAAGGTGGAAACATCTCAAGATTCTCATTAGATTCGTAGTATTATCCTTCAACCACTCCCCTAAGAAGATGAGATCATCGGCATATTGAAAAAGTGAAACCATACGCCCTATATATATCAGGCAATCCCACCCCATGATAAAGACCATTTTCCAAAGCTTTAGACATTGGCATGTTAATATTAGTAGAACATATCTCCATATATATATTTGTATTTATTGTAAATTGATTGTGATTAGCAATTTCCTAGAATATCTCTTTGTATATCCCTGTAATCTCTCCTATTCCTGCTGTATATATAGAGGGCTCCTCATATCAATAAGATCATCAAGATTCATAGATTTACATGGTATCAGAGCTAAGAGGCAAGTACCGTTTCTTAACCTTCTGCAACAGCTACAGCTGTGTAGTCTCCACCCTTCTCTCCCTACAAGTCACTACCCTTTCCCTATGGGTGACAAAACCGATCCTAACACCACCAAAATCATCCATCCCGTTTACACTGTTGCAAACATTCAAAACAAAGTTAGAATCCTGGATGGAAAGAAGGTAACCTACTCCTCTTGGGTTAAGCTTTTCAAACTTCATGCTCGTGGATACAAGGTCCTCTCCCACATTGATGGAACCACACCCCCAGCCAAAACAGATAAAGACTATGAGTCTTGGTCTGAGATTGACGCCATTATTCTTCAATGGATCTACGGGACACTCTCAGACGATCTCCTCACCCGTGTTCTTGAACCGGATTCAACAGCTTACGAAGCTTGGACCAGAATACAAAATATTTTTCTCAATAACAAAGTTTGTAGGGCTGCTGCTCTTGAACACGAATTCAACAACTTGACTCTTCGTGTGATGCCCTCTCTTGAAGATTCTTGTCGAAGATTGAAAGAACTCGCTGATCAACTCAACGATGTTGATTGTCCAGTTAATGAAAAACGCCTCGTACTTCAGCTTGTTCGAGGCCTTCCCACTGAATACGACCCGGTCGGTGCGTATGTCAATCAAACTCTGCCCCCATGGGAGACTGCGTGCTCTATGCTCCAGCTTGAGCACCAACGTCAACATGCTCGAGATTCTCTATCCCCTGCCGATGTCGCTACTGCTGTCACCCACGAGCCTTTAAATCCCCCTCCCAATTATCCCAATCGGCGTGATACTTCTGCCCCAAATCGCCGACAACCACAGCGATGTCCTTCTACTCATTGACCTGGCAACCCAACCTCAAATCAACGACACGCCTCTTCTTCTAATCGGCGTGGATCTTAACCTAATCCACCCAGATCTCAATGGCCCAATCCCTCACAAATACCTTATTGGGCTGCTGCCCCTGGTGGACTACACTTCCTTGTCCTTATCCAACTATGCCCGGATGGGCTTCTCCATGGAACAGCCTACAAAATCGCCAACCCAATAACTAGACTAGCAATGCACAGCAGGCTCATCTTACTGATATCAATCCTCTTGAACCAACAGAACTTGGAGCGGCTTTTAACACCATGACCTTGGAGCCAAATAACAATCAGTGGTACATGGATACAGGTGCCACCACTCACCTTACTGCCGATGCAGGTAAAATTTCTACCCCTTCTGTGTCATCTATTAAATCTGTTTTTGTTGGGAATGGAAATCGAGTGCCGGTATTAGGATCAGGTCATTCGACCTTACCCTACCCCACTAAACCTATCCACCTTAAAGACATTTTACACACACCCGATATAATTAAAAACCTCGTTTCCGTTCGTAAATTCACCTGAGATAATCTCGTATCTGTCGAATTTGACCCTTATGGTTTATCTGTGAAGGACTACAAGAGTGGGAAACTAATGCTGAGGCACAATAGCTCCGGGGATCTTTACCCAATCAATGCTCCAACAAATTTATCATTTTTTGTTTACTCTAATTCCTTGTTTTGGCATAATAGACTCGGACATCCGGGCCATTATGTAATGGACTTCCTTAGTTCTAATAAAATTATTTCTTGCAATAAACTTGATCATTCATTTGTATGTAACTCATGTCAACTAGCCAAACACAAAAGACTCCCATTCACTGACTCCACATCAACCACACTTCAACCATTTGATCTCATCCATGCTGACTTATGGACCTCTCCCTTACCAAGCAAAAGTGGCTGTAAATATTATCTTCTAATTATTGATGACCACACACTATACATGGGTCTTTCCTTTAAAATTTAAATCTGAAACCTATGACAAATTCAAACACTTTCACAAATTCATCCAAAACACAATTCCACAAACATATAAAAACTTTCCAATGTGACAAAGGAGGCGAATTTGACAACCACCACTTCAACCAATTCACCTCAACCACCGGCCTTCATATTCGCTTCTCTTGCCCACACACCTCCCAACAAAATGGGAAAGTTGAACGCATGATTCGTCTTATCAACGAACTCATGCTCACTCTTCTTAACCATGCTTCCCTCCCACCTACATTTTGGGTTGACGCCCTCCATATAGCTACCTACCTTCACAACATCTTACCCACCAAACTACTCAACTTCCACACTCCAACTTCCGCACTCTACCAAAAACACCCTACATATGACCACCTACGGGTCTTTGGCTGTGCATGCTACCCCAACCTCACTGCCACCCGCCCACATAAACTCTTCCCAAAATCCACCGCCTGTGTGTTCCTCGGATACCCGACCAACTATCGGGGTTATCGATGCCTTGACTTATCCACCGGCAAGATCCTCCTTTCTCGTCACGTCACATTTGATGAAACATCATTCCCTTTCTCTACTCCAAACCCGCAACCTAATTATTCCTTCCTAGACACCGATCCCCCACCCATTATATATCAAACTCCTCAATCCCCTACTCAACATACCTATTCACCTTCACACGACCCCAACCCCAGCCCCGACACTGAAGATCCAACAACCACTCAACCAAACGAAAATCATTCTCCTGAAACAACCCCAGTAAATCCCATATCTCCATCCACAACAAACGCCACATCCTTCCCCATCATATATTCCAGACGGCCACCACATCCCCCATCAAACCCTCTCCTCCTACCTCCACCCACACCATGACCACACGCTCCAAAGCCGGAATCACAAAACCTAAAACCCCATTCAACCTTCACACCACTTCCACTGACCCACCTATTTCGCCCCTACCCAAATCCTATAAAATCGCAATATCTGATCCTAACTGGCACTCAGCTATTACCAACGAATACAAGGCTTTAATAGACAATCACACATGGGATCTAGTGCCTCGACAAATGATGCTCATGTTATACGCTGTATGTGGCTATTTCGGCACACGTTTCATGCCGATGGGACTCTTGAAAGATACAAAGCACACCTAGTCATCAATGGGAAAAGCCAACAAGTAGGCGTCGACTGTGCTGAGACCTTTAGTCCTGTGGTAAAACCCACCACGATACGAACAGTTCTTAGCCTTGCTGTGTCACGATCTTGGCCTATTCACCAGCTAGATGTAAAGAATGCATTCCTGCATGGGGACTTAAATGAAACTATCTATATGTTCCAGCCCCCCGGGTTTGTCAATACCAAAAACCCAACACAGGTTTGCCGCTTACGGAAATCATTATACGGTCTTAAACAGGCCCACGAGCTTGGTACCAAATATTTGCAACATTCATCCAAACATGTGGATTTAAAAGCACCACCAGTGACAGCTCCCTTTTTGTCTACAAGCATGGACACCAAATGGCATATCTTTTACTGTATGTAGATGACATCGTCCTCACTGCCTCAAGTAAATCCCTTCTTCGGCGTTTCATTGGCCTATTGTCTAAAGAATTCACTATGACTGACCTCGGCCAACTTCATCACTTCCTCGGCATCCAAGTTCAACATCAAAATGGTGGTCTCTTTCTCTCTCAAGCTCAATACATCAACGACATCTTAACACGTGCCAACATGAAAAACTGCAAACCAAGTATCACTCCTGCCGACACGGGCTCCAAGCTTAGCCTCACTGCTTGCCAACCAATGTCCGACCCCTCTCTCTACCGCAGCTTAGCTGGTGCTCTCCAATATCTCACTTTCACACGACCAGATATCGCATATGATGTCCAACAAGTGTGTCTCTTCATGCATAATCCACGTGAACCACACTTCAATTTTCTCAAACGCATTCTGCGGTATCTCAAAGGAACCAGCAACCACGGTCTACACATCACTCCTTCTAAATCTGCCAAACTTACTGCGTATTCTGATGCAGATTGGGGAGGGTGCCCGGATTCCCGACGCTCCACTTCTGGCTACTGTGTCTTCCTCGGTGATAACCTGGTCTCTTGGTCATCTAAACGTCAACCCACAATCTCTCGTTTTAGTGCTGAGGCAGAATACAAAGGGGTTGGAAACACTGCAGCTGAAACAACTTGGCTACGAAACTTGCTTCTCGAGTTACACCTTCCAGTACGCCAAGCCAACAAGCCACAATTATTTATTGTGACAATCTCTCAGCCGTTTATCTCACACAAAACCCCGTTCAACACCAACGCATAAAACATGTTGAAATTGATATTCACTTTGTCCGAGAAAAAGTTCGCATGGGTTCTCTTCAAGTTCTCCATGTTCCGGCAGATTACCAATATGCTGATATCTTCACAAAGGGATTACCTCGTCAACTTTTCACTCGCTTTCGATCTAGTCTCTCCATCCGACCAGCTATAGTTTCAACTGCGGGGGACTATTAGTAGAACATATCTCCATATATATTTGTATTTATTGTAAATTGATTGTGATTAGCAATTTCCTAGAATATCTCTTTGTATATCCATGTAATCTCTCCTATTCCTGCTGTATATATAGAGGGCTCCTCATATCAATAAGTTCATCAAGATTCATAGATTTACAGTTAAATCCTTCCATCGCTAAAATAAATAAGAATGAAGAGAAAAGATCCCCTTGTTATTGCAGCCCTCTTTCCAAGGAGAATTGTTCAATTGGTGGTCCGTTCACTAGAACCGGAACTTTTTTTGTAACCAAAATCGCCCGAAACTTTTGTTGACCGAAACCCATTTGGTTCACTACGTCGTACAAAAAAACTCCAATCAAGTGAATCAAAGGCCTTGTTAAAGTTCACCTTAAAAATGAGCAATTTTTTTCTTTGTTTCTTAGACCATGTGATGACCTCGTTAACCACCAATGGACCATCCAATATGTTATGATCATTAACATAGGCCGATTGCTCCTTGCATACCACCGTGGTCACCACATATTTAATCTTTTAGCAAATAACTTAGAAATGATTTTGTTGACCACCCGATGAGATAGGTCTATAATCCATAAGATTGAGCAGTTCGTTCACTTTTGGCACAAGAGTGACGAAACAAGCATTGATGTCGGGATTAATAACCTAATAGTTGGGAAAAGCCTTTACATTTTTTTGGTTGGCTCTGGCCACAACTTTTACACAGAGTTATCACTCTAGCTCATTCAACCAGTTTCATGGTTAACTTTGTTATCTTTTTTGCAAAATCAGTCATAAAATTGGGTTTAAAGTCCAAATTTGATCATTGTAGTTTGCAAAAAATTACTTACACATGTCTAAAACTCGATTTTATGTTTTTTTAACTTTTTTATTTTTATTTATTTTTATTTTTAAGTCAAAACAAAACTTGGTTTTATATTTTTCGGTATTTTATTTTTTATTTTTTGTATTTTTTTTACTTTTTTGTTTTTTTCTTATTTTTCATCAATTTGATAACTTTTTTTTCTATATTTTTTTAATTTTAGTTATATATGATTTTTCTAATATTTTTTTTATTTATTTTGATTCAAGTAAATGAAAAAAATCAATTTAAAATATTGTACAATGTATTTTGATAGAGTCTGACTCTTATTATTTATTTTATTCTTTATTCTACTTTACTATCAGATTGAAAAATATTATCTTGAATTTAAATTATTAATATCATATATAGAAATATGATTTAATTTGCAAGTTACAATTTAATAAGTTTAGCTAGTTTTCCTATTTTAATAATTATAAATCGTAAATATTACACATTGAATCAAAATAAAAAAATAAAAAAGATAGAAAAACCATAAATTACCCAAATTAAAAAAAAAATAGAAAACAAGAAAAACTCAAACATCAAAAATGAAATGTAGTCTAATATATTCATACACTTTACACTTTTTGAAAAAAGGTCAAAAGAAGTTATCAAATTGATGAAAAACAAAACGTAAAAAAATATGAAAAAAAAACAAAAAAATTAAATAAAATAAAACCAGGTTTAGTTTTGAAAAAACAATAAAAAATAAATGAAAACAAAGAAGTTTAAAAACATTAAACCGAGTTTTGGACATGTGTAATTTTTTGCAAACTACAGGGACAAAATTTGGACTTTAAACCCAATTTTAGGACTAGTTTTGCAAGAAAGGTGACATAGTTAACTATATAACTCTATGAAACTGGTTGAGTAGGCTAAAATGATACCTCTGCATAAAAGTTGTGGCCAGGGCCAACCATAAAAAAATGTTAGGGCTTTTCCCAACTACGCGTGAAAAACTTGGAACTTTTATGGTATTTGCCTTATCCTAATATTTTTTTTTATAAATCCAAATGGAAACCCATTCGAACCCGTGTCTTTTTATATTTCCACAATCGCACACACTTTGTTAACTTTGTATGTTGGCATATTAGTTTTGTTTATTTCTTATTTATCTTTCATAACTTCATAAACTTATTTAAACTTATAAAAAATCCAACTTATATATGTATGAAGTATAATAAAAAAATAAGTAGTTCTATTGCATCCTAGTAATAAACACAACATTATTTATTTAATTTTCATTACAAACATAATAAAAATACTAATAGCTAGTGAGTAGATGTAGAAATTTTGATTATTTTTCGTTTTGGTTATATTTTATATTTACGGTACAAAGGGATAATTTTAATACTTGATTAAAAATAAAAGGAGACAAAAGTTTTGCAAATTATATTTACGAATTATAAGCTTTCAAATTGTTTTGTTAATAAGAATTCATAGTAATACAGTTTGTCCACCGATTATAACGACTTTTCCCGTATTTCTAGTTTATGGGAGAGGATGAGATCACCTTTGACGATCGAGCTAAATGACCCGTTTAGAAACATGTTGCACCCCTACATGTAGGCCAACTCTAATGTGTCTTAGATAAGATTTAAACTTGGTTCATTCTGGGAAAAGTGTTTGCCATGTAATCTTCCACGGTCACTAATGAGTGACTAGACTATTGTGTTGGGTTTTATATGCATTAATACATTATATTAAGGTAGCAAAAACAATAAAAGATTTACCTAAATGTACATGAACCCTAAGATCTAGGTTTGAACAAAATAAAGAATGGAATACCTCTTGTGTATCTTAACCTTGATCTTCTTGAACCTTCTTGATCCCACCATGTTGCTTGGATGAGAGGACCCAAAGTAGAATCCCTCTAATGGAATCACACCTAAGACTCGAAAGAAAGAACCAAAAGAAAACTAGGAAAGAGAGGGTCAAACTTCTCCAAACCCTTGGAAGGTTAAGAAATTCGTCCCACAGAGAGAAAAGGCAGAAGTTGGCGAAAATATCAAGCCAAGGTGTGAACCCTTAGCACCCTATTTATAGCCTTAAATCCCTTTCCAGGTTTTATATCCCATCCCATGTGGAATGGAGATTTCGAAATTCATTTTATCCTTTAATGGTTATGGAATATTCCAATTAGTCAATTTTTAAACTAATTAATATGCAACCCTTTGAATTAGTTATATTGATTTTTCATTTGTTTTTGGTCAACAATAAAATTATAATCGTTTTTTATTTTCTCGGCTACTACTTTCTGTGAGCTTCCTTTTAAGCCACTACCCTCCCAACCGGTAGTTGTTATTTTGCATATGCATGCTTCAAGAAAAGTTTTGTCCACACATTCCAACTTCCAACTAACTCATGGTCTCTTTTTTGTCATGTCTTGGACAAAACCAATTAGTTTTCAAGTACTGTTATTTTCAACAAATCAACCAAAACAAAATCAAGTTCTTTTCTAATATCCCTAACACAAATGAACAATGTTTAATACTTCATGTAGCTTTTACACCAATCAGCCAAATTAACCAAACAAATAAAATCAGCCAAATATATTTAGAGTAGCCGAGTAGGAACAAATTTATGTATATAGATTCTTGTAGTTGGAACAATTAAATTGGGTTAATGGCAGGAAAAAAAAAATCAAAATCAAGAAGAATTTAATAAAAAGAAGTCATGTTGAGGTATTTCTTGGCGGAACAAGACACACAATGATGTTTCTGCATCTATTCAGAGAAGGAACAAAAAAAGGAGGTTCCTAAGGAAGACGACGGGGAGGCTGGTGAGTTGGGCGTTGGCGTCGTCGAAGGGATGCGACGACGGGAGGAATGTGACTGAGTCGGATATTTTGCTACCCAAATCAAACACACTGACCAGACCGAGTTAAACAAAAACGACTGACCAACACAAAACGAAATCAAACATGCCCTTAGCCTAAATGATGAAGACATTGCAACACTGCCTTTTAACATGGTTGAGGGCCACACGTACAAAAAAAGTTGATAAGATTTTTAATTTATTCCATGTAGAAATTTATACCTCATTAATTGGGGGCATCCCCCCATTCTCTTTAAATCCGACCCTTACATTGTTAGAAGTGCAAATATGATATAGCTTTGATGAGAAAAATCTAATGATACATTTTCTATTTGGACCTTTTGATAAATTAAATCCCCAATCTAGTTTGTTAGTTTTGCGTATAGTGTTTTGTAGCACTTACTAATTAAACTCAAAATTTCAGGCGGGAGACGAAGTTCATTGCAGAAATTGTCGAGGACATCTACCGTAAATTACATGTACCTGCACGGAGTGCTCAGCCACTTATTGGGATGGAAGAGTCCATTGACTTTGTCACTTCATGGTTGCGAGATGGATCTTCAAACACAGGAGACATACTCACTATTTTGGGTATGGGCGGGATCGGAAAGACATCTTTAGCCAAATATGTCTATGGGTTACATTTTCGTGAATTTGACACTAGAAGCTATATTGAAGATATCGGTAGGAGATGTGCTGGAAAATATAACGGGTTGCTTGATCTAACTAAGCAGCTCTGTGATGACATTTCAAAAAGAAGCCCGATCCAAGTTTATGATGTTTCTGTATACACCTCAAAGATAGAAAATGTATTAGCCAAGAAAAAGGTGTTTCTAGTTCTTGATGATATCAATAGTCTCGACCAGTTGGATGCATTACTTGGAAACAAAGGTTTTCATCCCCAAAGCAAGATAATAATAACATCAAGGAACGCATGGCTAACAAAGAGTTGTGCATTATTCAAAAAGGAAGTTGTTCCCAGGCATGCAGAGCACTGGCTTCAAGGCTTAGATAAGGCTCATTCACTACAACTTTTGTGTTTTCATGCACTTAAGTCGAAGGATCCCAAGCCAGGCTATGAAATTGTTTCGGAGAAGTTTATGAAGTATTGTAGAGGACATCCATTAACTCTTGAAGTTTTGGGCAAGTCTTTACATAAACGAGATGCAGCTTATTGGGAAGAGCGCATAGAAGGGCTAGGGAAAGAAAACGATTCCCGTATAATGGATGTATTGAAGATGAGCTATGACTCTTTGCCATCTAGAAATGATAAGGAATTGTTCAAGCATATTGCTTGTTTTTTTGTTGGAATGGATAGAGATTTTTGCGACACAATATTAAAGGCTTGTGATATAAAGACAAGTTCTGGAATCACGAATCTCATTGACAGATGCCTTCTTAGTATTGGATGGAATAACAAATTGGTGATGCATCAGTTGCTTCAAGAGATGGGAAGATTCATCGTACGTGAAGAATCACTTGACAAGCCATCAGAGCAAAGTCGATTGTGGTGTCATGAGGATTCATCCAGAGTGTTGAAGCAAAAAAAGGTAAGAGACCATGTATACTATATATATATATATATATATATATATATATATATATATATATATATATATATATATGTTGATAACATTCATAAACTTTTTCTACATCCACTTTTCTTGTCAGGGTACAGAAAATACTCGAGGACTCACCCTTGATACGAGAATGCTTAAGAATAAAAGGTTACGTAAAACTTTTGAGTTGGAACTAGATGCATTGAGTACTATGGATAGTTTAATGCTACTACAACTGAATTATGTGAAATTCAATGGGTCTTACGAGAACTTTCCAGAAGAATTAAGATGGTTGTGTATGCATGGGTTTCCTTTAAAGTCTATACCTTCAGACCTACCAATGCAGAATTTGGTTGCTCTTGACATGTCAGATAGCAAAATTAAATCATTTGGCATATGTTATAAAGAACGACCCTTGAAGAGGCAAAAGGTAACTTATCTCTCCATCAAGTATTCATCCATATTGACTTGATGAATTTCTACTATTCTATCTTATCTCCATTTTGCAGTTGAATGGATCGTGCTCAAAAGACAAAATATTGCTTGGATCACTAAAGATTCTTAATTTAAGTTTCTGTAAAGAGCTTCATAGTATCTGTGGCTTTGATGGACTACCATCACTTGAGAGGTTAATAGCTACAAACTGTAGTGGTTTGCTTGAGGTTTGTGAATCAATCGAGCAATGTGATGAACTTCTCTTCGTCGATCTCAGTTATTGCAACAAGCTTGATAAACTTCCACAAACAATAGGCATGTTAAAAAAGGTTGAAGAACTATTCCTAGATGGATGTAATCTCGGCCAATCTAGGCTTGAGATTAGGGATACGGATTATCCAGAAAAGCTCAAGCCTAACCACACTGGCATCACTGTTATGAAGCCTATACCAACTGATTTTACAATTTCTTTACCGGGATCTTTAGTAAGGCTGTCACTTAAAAATAATAATTTGTCAACAGAATCTATTCCCATGGACTTAAGTTGCTTATCCATGTTGGAGGAATTATATTTAGATGGCAATCCTATCGTTTTCCTGCCTGATTGTGTGAGAAACCTTCCTAGGCTTGAAATACTTCGCAGCGACATTGCAGGTGGCACCACCTATAAAAGGCATGTATCATTCTCATCAAACATTTTGACATGTTCTCTATGTGTTCTCTGTTTTACTTGTTATCTAGTATCATGTGAGCCAAGAATTTATTGACTTTATTGACCTCCACCATAAAAGTTTAATTTTATAAAATATAAAAACTACTTCTAACTTTTAAATGGATCGATCCAAGTATTAATCCACTTATAAACGAGTGGATTTGCTGGATCAACAGATAAGGCTTTTTGATATGCTGGATCACATAAGCATGTCAGATCATATAGAAATTAAAACCCAACTCACTAAGATAGCTACAACTACTTTGTTCAAGTGGATCTATGTGATTGTAGTAAAATAATGTATTACTTTTTATCTGTTTTCATGATCAGAAGAGCAAGTGTTTTGTAGAGCTTCATGCAAAAGGAAGTCTGACAGGCGACATGCTTGTCATTCACGTGAGGTATATTTTTATTTTTTACACACCAGACCTTTTTGATCATCAAATGAAGAACATGCACACACAACCAGCTATGTTATCATCAAAGTTCTTGATATTGGTCTAGCTAGGATGTAACAAAAATAAGATCTATAACCTCGCAAGGATTGCTTGGAAATGAGAACTATAATGAAAATTACATTAAGAAATAGAATACAAAAGGGAATTTATTTGTCAGGTCTTGTCATTACATAGACTTCTTTGATAAAAGGAAACTATCATTCTTACGGAATATACATAAAACGATTATGTTCATAGGCTTTTTCAAAGTTATGGTATTTTGAAAAACTACTTCCCAAATAACTGTATTTTAATATTAGTTAAGTTGTCAGAAAAGGTAAAAGTACATAATATTTTTCTATTCTAAATAAATAAATAAATTAAGGATGGACCTCTAATCACTTTTCACAACTAACTCTCATATTGGTTTAATTTCAATCAATCAGTGACGTCAATGCAAGTGGGTCTTTGTTCTGGCGTCCACATTCCTCCACTACCTGTCTACCCACCTCTGGCTTCCCCAGTCAAATTCCATGGGCATCCCTCCCACCTTGGCAGAGGCATGTGGGGTCTCGTTACGAGTTCACACTTATTGGAGTAAACATGATGGACTTCTACAATGTAAGCCTTGTCTAAGGGTAGAATCCCTTGGGTATATCCGTTTTACTAGTCGGGATTAGCAACAACCTTTACATGTGACTTGAGTATTTTAGAGCATTGATGACTTAGCACCAGCTGGAGAACCAACAAGTGACGAGCCATATTAGTTTGTGGACGTGTGGTTGACTGCCCATTAACTAAATGACAATTAGCTGGTAACGTCCCAAAAATAGGACCACGATGTAACGTCCCAAAAATAGGACCATAAAATTTCATTTTTAATCAAATAAAAACAGTGCTCCAAACATTATCCATACAAGTTTAACAAAATAAGTGTATGAGTATTGTTTCAAATCAGAGTAAGTTATAAATTGTAGTACTTGAAACACAAACTGAAAACCGTAATCATAAAGCTTAGTGAGTTCCCCTAACATACCACATACAAAGCAAACATATCGTCGAGCATATATGGGTGATCGACATACCCTGTCGGGCATATCTGGGTGTCTGACCTACCCTGCCGAGCATATATGGGTGCTCGACCTACCCTGTCGGACATATCTGGGTGCCCAACCTATGTTATCGGGCATATCTGGGTGCCCGACCTACCCTCTAGTCTATTTCAACTGGACACGAGGTATATTTCATCCCTACCACTACCACATAATAACATACATAAATCACATACGAAGTCAGATTTAGACGTTCTTTTTATGCACGCTCATGGTTTAACGAACTCTACGACTTTCGTTTAGATCGCTAAGGCTAAATATCGCTCTAACGTAAATTCACTTTTTACATTCTTCAACGTCGTGCCGGTTCTGTCACGAAACTTCGACAGGTCATAACTTCTTCGTTATAACTCAGATTTTGGCGTTCTTTTTATGTACAGAATCCTTGTAACATATACTAAATTGACTAGCCCTGATCGTACAGGCGTTGCACACTTGTCCACAACTTTCTCGACAAAGTCCTAACCAATCCAGTCCTGAACGATAGCCCAAACCCGAAATGAAACCAAAAGGCTCATATTTAAATAGGGTCAAAGATCATTATTTAGGGTTTCATGGCTGAAGGGAGTACGCCCCGTGTACCCCTTGGTATACTCGGCATACTCGAATACCACACACAACTACTCTACTCGGTATGCTTTTCCTCCAAACTCACATGGTTGATCCCTAAAGGTGACTTATCACGTAAAGTTCACAACATCACATACATACATGGCTTAATGGGGCTTAATAGCTCAAAAAGTGCTTAACAAATGTATTAATACATGCATGGGTCCAAATACTCCATAAAGTTGACATTTTATGAGCATATGGATTGATGGAGCTAAAATCTAACACCCATTGCCTCTAGAGTAGATCAAAAGCTCTCATTTAACACAAAGGACTCAAAAAGTGCACAAAATGCTCCTTGAACTAGATATAACATATAAGAGCATGAAGATGTAATCTTTTTACCTCAAAAAGCTTGCAAATATGGAGATGATCGTGGATCCTAAAGTTCAAGCAATCCCCTCAAGAGTTCCTCTTCTTCTTATCATTCACAAACCACCAACAAACACTCTTCAAGCAATCCCCTCAAGAGTTCCTCTTCTTCTTATCCTTTGTTAGCTTGGTTACCTCGGCATTAATAGCTCTATTGCGGTCTCCCCCTTGAACCCTCTTACTCTGCTTAACTTCCTTTGTGCTCGGCTTGATCATCAGCCTGTTCTGTATAACTTCCCTTTCGACCCCTACCATGTCGGTGGCGATGCATGCGAACACATGTTTTGTATTGTTTCAAAAGGTTGATCAACGCGCGCCTAACTGGTTCAGGGAGGTTGCTGCCGACGTTGACCGGCTGATCTGGGTATTCTTCGTGGATGATTTCTTTCCCGTTTGTTAATTCAACCCGTGCCTTTTTGCTTTATTGTGCTATTTCTTCCGATCACATGACTTTGAAACATTGCGGTTCCCTTGGTGGGGTCGCGAGGACTGTGCCTCACCCTTCAGTGGTGCTGAATTTTATGATCTTGTGCATTGTTAACGGAACTGCTCCAAGCTTGAGTAGGGCTATCCTTCCCATAATTATGTTATGCTTTGCGGGATGTCGTATTACGACGAAGTCAATTGGGGTCGTCTTCCTTCGTTACTTGTCGTGGCTTATCAGCATGAGAGGCAGGTGAATTGTGCCCTAAGCGGGCGCGAACCTTTCTGCAGGTGCCCTGGTCTTAGGGGCGTTGAGCTCCGCTGGGTCTGTCTTGTCGAGCGCGCTAAGCCCTCGTGCGTTCTGTCTCCACGGGGCACGGTTCTTTTGTGCTTGCTAGAGCACGTTATTATATATATATATATATATATATATTATGATTTTTATTAAATAACTTATAGTAAAATATACTTTTATTGGCTTAAATATATTTTTGCAAATAAAATCCAAAGGCAAATTGAAATGGGCCTCATCCCTTGCTTATATATATATATATATATATATATATATTATGATTTTTATTAAATAACTTATAGTAAAATATATTTTTATAGGCTTAAATATATTTTTGCAAATAAAATCCAAAGGCAAATTGAAATGGGCCTCATCATTGCTTTTAATCCATTGGACATTTTACCCTAACACTACTCAGCACCCACACCCACGCATCAAATTCTTCATTTTCTTTCTTGGTCATATTCCCTGTTCTTCCGTCTTGACGACCCTATCGATCAACACCCTCGTCCAAATTATCGTCATCTTCACGGTAACTTACTCGAATCGTCACCGCCTGCCGACTCCTACAATCGGAATCGTCATTATTTTCACATCGGATTGCTTAAATCGTTGGAATCGTTGTTAATGGTAAAAATCCAACACCTTCTCAATCTGTGTGAGTTGTACTGGAGAATGGAGATAAATCACTATTATCGGTTCTCAGAATGTTCGTAAACACCACGAAACCTAAAACGGCGGTCCCCGGTTTCACTTGTTTGCCCATCCGTTCATCTGCTGCTACACTACTTCCCTACTTCCACGCCGGCCACCGCCCGACTGTTTGCTCACTATCACACACACTCTTTCTTAACTATCTATCATATTTGAAAACATTTTTTACCGTGGAAATCAAGTCTGGATATTGAAGATATCATTTATTGTGTGTGCCCCTTCCATCCCGTTTCTGTAAATGCAAACTCAAACCCCATTATATGTGTTGTTGAAGAGTAATCTGGATGTGAGAAAACCAAAAGACCTGGGATTACTAGCAATCGATTGCTAAAGTATTTTTTTCGAAGTTCTTGGGCACCACATCACCTCTGTTCATCAGGTAGCCAAGCAAACCCACGACTCCCCTATTCTTCAGTTTTGTTTTTTCTTCCATAACATGACATGGGATCGGTTGCTCTGTTCAAATGTTGTTTATTCTTTTGTTTTTAAAAAACTTCTCAGGTATTATTAAAGTACACGATTTGTGTGAAAACCATTTTTTCTTTGATCTAATGGCTAAATGGGCAGGAAATCTCAATATACCTCTAGTTCTCAAGTTATTATATTTTCCAAACAAAGTTCCGGTTAAAAGAGAAAGGTTTTTGATTAAATTGTTATTATTTTCTTTGAAGTCTGATTTAAAGTTTTGCTTTGTGTGAAATGCAGAAATTGGAATAGATGGTGCAAGTTATTCTTCTGATCTCAAATTGAACTTAGCCATTGAATTTAAGATGAAGAGTTGGTGATGTTGACTGTTGAGAAGCCACAACCGGTAACTTTGTTTAAGGAAAAAAAACATATAAATACTACGACAAATCATATATGATTTTTAACAATCTCTTTGATATGTGTTCTGCATGGTTTGAAAAAGGGTATTTAGAGCTAGATGAAAATGGATAAGGTCTTGAATGAAATAGTGATGTTATTTAGGTTTTGGGTTCTAGCTTGACATGTATTTCCTTTATTTTGGTTATACTAAGCCATGGTTTCTGTTTTTTCTTTTGATTATAGAAAACGTTGCCTACATCCCTTGATAAACATTTGCCCATCTCATGATCTCTTCAAACTTCACAGGTTTTAGGTTGACAAAGTAGTTTATTACTTGGTGATGTTCGTGATTATCTCCACAAGTCCTTCTTTGCAAAGGTCCCAATGGATTAAGAAGGTATGAAACTATTGTAATAATCCCATGCTTGTGTTTTCTATTAATTGAAGCTTATTTAGTTTAATAACAACTGCATGATAAACTCTTAGTTTCTGTCCATTTCATTAATTGCAGGATCTGATTGGTTTTGGACACTATTTTTTATAATATATATATAGCACTTATGGGAACACAGGAGCTAAAGCG